ATTTTCACCACCTGTAGCCTCGCGCCTTAAACGGGCGTAGTTCATCCCTTGAGCCCTGACAGGGTTGCCGAGCAGTGGGAGGGCCAAAGCGCCGTCTCTTTCCAGGATTCTAAGGTTCTCTTTGACGATCGTTCGTCCACAGTGGAAATAGACGCTATGCCCATTCACGGGTTTGCTGGTTGTACGAGAGAGAGAGAGAGAGAGAGAGAGAGAGAGAGAGAGAGAGAGAGAGAGAGACGAAGATAAGAGGATAAAGTATAATGGTTAAACATAAAACAGGCAGGTATACGAAGATACACCCGTACAGAATATTCATGACGCTCTCAGCTCGTTCCAAAGCCTAGACGGGTATATTAACAGCCTTGAATTTCGGCGACTAGTATCTCTCTCTCTTTCCCTCCGTTTTACCCGGGTATCCCGACGGGTTCTCTCTCTTTCACTGTGGTTGGCCGAGCGTGCCTATTCGCTTCCGGCTTTGCTCCGATCCGGTAATTGTAACCTTACCTCAGCCCCTAGCACATTCCCTCTCGCTCCCTCTCATGCACCGGCACGCATCCCTTATACGCCAACTCTCCTGCTAATACCGCAAGCGGCTGCCTAATCGAATACAGATACGAACCCCGCTAACGTCCCTGTGAGATACCTAATGGGATGCCAGCATTTCACGAGGACCGGTCCTCAACGAACGCCATCTCCAAACCGCTGTTGTACGTTATCAGGACCCCGTGGAATTTTACAATTAAACGTCGACGTCTCGGGCGTACGACGAATCCACCCTCCTTATCCTATTCACATTGAGAACCAACGAGAATGATTGCGGATTTGAAAATTTCGCTTCTCCGTGTTGCACGGGTATTCTGCAGAGGGTCATTCAGGCCGAGCCCGCCGAGCGAAGTTAGAGCCGTTCATTTGATTTCTATGGCGGAGCCAACTTCAGTCGATACCCTTATATAGGCTGCTGAGTGACTGTATATTGCGCATTTAAAAGATGTACGTAGTTTCGTGAACTTTGGCTCGGTACGTATATAGGATATCGTACCCGTGGCAATAATAAAAAGTAGAATATATGTTATCCCTTGAGAATTTACCTTCCATGCATGGATATACCCTGCACCATTGTAGTGGATGCGCGTAGTCGTATGCTTTTCAATGGGAAGATAATTTGCGCACGTCGTGCTGGCTTTAACCGCAGGGTCGGTTTCTGGTACCGAGTTGTATTCGTGAATAAGGCGTGTTTTCAAGAGCGCGACGGTGCTCGCTGCTGGATACCCCCTGGAAACGTAGAATGGTCGCTGACGGGACGCGTCTCGACAACTCGAGTGCCGGGGTTTGCGGTTACATATTGCCCGAGGACCGAGTCGTGTATTTATGAGACTGCGTACGCGACTAATCTAAAGACCCATCCAATGCCAACTAGTCGGAGCGCCAGTCGGCAGAGAAGTTAATTCTGTAACCGTCACTTCCGCTTTCCGCTGCCAGCCGCTGCTTACGCGCTTTCCTTCTGGGTCCACTCGCGTTCAATTTGCAAGCTGATATTTACGTGAAGGGTATTTACGTGAACGGGGGCGCAGGTTGGCGGCGACCGTTGGATCGTTTAGTCGGTTCAGCGTACTTTCTTTTACGTTTGGGCTTAACGCCTCTTCGACGCGTCATTTGCCCGGGGGTTTTCGGCATTTTCCGACAATCTTGAGAAACCCCCGTGGAACCGAGCGCCACGAGGGGTGACGCAGGCTTGAATCTCGCGGCGGAGCTTTAATAGTTAATTCGCGGAACCACTCGACGCGGCCTGTCTGACGGTAGGCGACTGCGAGGAAAAATTCTTACCGACTTTGGGAGCCTCCGGCATGAATTCTTGAGTCCCTTGGCGTGAGAGTGAATTTTGAGGGCGGTGAAGAGGGGGGGGGGGG